TGTACTCTATGTTCCTCCACGGATAACTTAACGGATTACCGGGGCTTCGGCACGAAGGGCAGGAGTAGGAACGGGGTGGTTTTTAGTCAGTAGGAGCCTTACACTCCCTCTCGCCTCACCGAGGCGGGAGGAGTCATTCGATGATTTTACCCCCTTAAAAAACCCCATGGGCCTACCTCTTTGGATATAAGAAGTTGTGCCGTTATGTGTTGTGTGACATAAGATTCAGGAATCAGAGGTTCAATTCAATATTTTTATTGATTCAGATATTTCTTAATTTTCAACTTCGGTATTGTAAAAACTGCGTCTATATACGTATGTTTGTATTTTTGAGATACCTACGTATCGCACAATTCCTGGCGTGTTCTTATCGAAGTAGGTAGGTACCGTACCTAGTTAGGACTTTTGAAATTCTCAATTTCGAGCTCGATATCTGACCAAGAATCGAGATTTAGTAGTAGGTAGCAGGCAGTGCGTCCAGACAATTAAAGACAATATCAATAGCACTCAATTATAATAAAACTTTCGTTTTTTACTGAGCAGGATGAACTCAGAGTTACAACTCTGCTTTACTCTGGTTTGTTTAGGTTTTTTCTATTATCACTATGTTTTCATTATACGGAGCTCAGACATTGGCTATTGAAGCTATAAAGGAGCCAATTAGAATTGGAAACTCTTTTGGCAAGGTTTAATGCCTTATCAGAAAGAATCTAGAAAGGTGACAAATACAGATGTTCAAATAAAACGCCATTGTTTTGATATGTTATCCAACATTTATTTTAACATTTAAAATTACATAAAAAGAAGGCATTTTGCCTTAAAAGTCTTTGAATAATTTTTCGAACCTACCGAAATGATTTGAATTATAGAGAATTTGGTAGGATACTGTCAGTGTAAGCATGCCGTCTTGTATTTTGCCGGAAAAAGAAAAAACTGCCTCTCCTCTGGTATTCCAACTTGTACATACCTCGTACTCACTAGACTTAGGAGCACATCACGTGATACTGTGACACCGCACTTCCCTTCTTATATTTTCTGGTACGTGGAAAGGATTTGGTTAATTAAAACTTTTATGCGAAAGGAAAACAATTTTGACAGTTTACCGAAATATTTTAATGTTTTCAATACAGGCGGCATGTTTCCCACATCGGTATTTGAAACACCTAAATAAAAACAGATATGTTTGAAGTCACGATATCATCCAAATTTTTGGGGTTGCAGTCAGAGCAGTGACAAAATATAAAGGGTAGATAGGTACACAATACAATAACAAAAATCTACATTCATGATATTATAATAAATAATAGGTACACAGTTACAGTTACCAAATGGTTACATAGAAGTTAAATTATAATAATGGTAACATAATGATATAACTACACATCACTTAAACTAAACACATTCAACTTAATCTAAATCCAAATGGTTAAATAATAATGACAATAATATTGTCAAAACACGATTTTACAATAGGTTACACGGACATTAAAATACATAAAATTATGACATCATTCTTCATGACTGGCTTCGCCTCATCAGACGACCATTGCCAATGTAGGCAGAGATCTAATCCGTGTTTACATTGGTCCCAACGCTTTGCAAAGGGGTCTAAAACAATTTTAATTACAATTTTATCTTTCATGAAAGCGAAGCGTCGCATGGGGTCGCTCGTATATATCGAGACTTGAACGTCTGTCACGACAACTAGACCAAATTTCACAGTGCGCGCTTGATCTTAATAATTTTGATTGTCCAAATATTTTAAAATTTAAGCCCAAAAGGACCCCTTTTTCTATCAATACCAGTCAGACCAATAAAATATTTACAAATAAGTAGTACATTTAACATGAAAATAGTTATGAAAAAACACTGATTTTATGTATATAATAAGAATATGATGATATGGCACAATGAAAGATCAAGTTCTTAGGTAGGTACACATTAATGTTAACTTCTTGGGTTGGAATCAATACGCAAGTATGTGGCATATAAAAGTTACAAGGATGCTGTGGTTACAATGAAAACGTTAGATAGCCATAAAACATCGAGAATAAAAAGCAAACGTGGTTCGAAAATAATTCAAAATGTTACAATGACACTTAATACAACTTTGATTAAACTGTGATTACTGGTCATATTAATATACCAGTACAATGCACATCCCATAGATTATTACCAATAATTACTATTATACGTCGATACATTGTTAAAATTAACATCGAACATTTATTTACGACACATAAAAATGGATTCTTGAAAAAGCTGGACACTGGCGTGTTCCAGAAATGATCAAACTGTCGAATACTTACTACATGAACTCACAACGAACTCGTCTTCTTCTTATATGAAGATTAAAATACCAGATCAGGAGACCTATAACATACCTACTTGAATTACTGAAAGAAAGGTATTGTATCAGTGGCCATTTAGGCTTTGTCGCTTAAGTACCCGCGCAGGTTTCAGATCACTTTGACCAGTCATTCAGATAGGGATATCTGCTTCTGGCGAATATCCCTATGACCTAAAGTTATATATTGATTATAGACACAATTATTTGTATACAGATGCGACTTTTCAGTAATACGTATGTAAGTTTATATTCAGGTTCTATACGCCCATGCAGAAGCTGGTTGCTAAGTAAATAAATGTAACATTCGTTGTTTGAACCCACTGGCATGAATTTATTTTGTTATTGTTAAATTATTATTATTTCTATTTTACTCTATCGAATGCAAATCAGTTCCGTAGGAACTTACCTAGACTAGTTTCCTTAACTTAGCTGTTTTCTTTAAATATAAGATGGTTATGTGTATAATATAAGTAGGTATATTGGGACAGAGAGAAAGAGCTAGTGGCTGACAGAGAGGTACCTGGATCTTTACATTTCTCCTCACACAAGATGTTGCTATATAGAGGCTGTTCACTTAAATTACGGAGCCTAATATTGTGAATAGATACTTACAAATTGATATCATTGGGTTGATTTTGAATACTGCAACGAATTGTACTCACACAAGCATTACTTTCGTATTGTCATCTTACAAAAACGAGGGCCACATAGTTGAAAATGCTAAGTTTTGAACAAGTTCGATTTGGTTGTTAGTTCGACAGTAAGTCCAACTTTAGAAGCTGTCTCAGAAACATGTGGTAACTTTTTCGGATTATGATTTGCTTTTTGTGAGTACAGTTCTTTGCGAAAGCAATTGAATAGGTAATTACATATAATACGAGCCAAATTTCTTCTCTTGCTGTACTTTATTATAATTTGTAATAGGCCGAAAATATGCAAAGAGAAAACACGTGCGTGTGAGATATTAGTATGTTGTTAAATCTGATGTTATCGTAACATGACCGAATATGAAGAGTATGACCGAACTGGCTTACATGCTAACTAAATCTATACTAAAATTACTTATCTCTATGCACGGAACTGAGTTTCAAAGGTGTTTTCTGTAGGCGTAGACTTAGATTATAATGCGTTCGTTTTGGTCGCCCACTAGGAGCGTCGCGTCGTGTAGATGTCCACGGATGAATAATATGACATTTAGTCTCATAATGATGTTTCTAGCCTCTTTTTGTATCAAGTTCCGGCAACAAATTTAATGATACTACTTAACCGAATTATTACTACCATACACTACTTCTTCATCCAAAAGGAGCTTTCTTCTGACTTATTCTAATATTTTTTTAAAACTAATATATATCTATATCTCTTAGGAATATAATATTATTTATTGCATTATACTTATTCTATGTTATTCTAAACTAACTCTTTTTGTATTTTTTTTATTTTTTTTTTGTATTTTTTTGGCATTTTTGTTGTTTTTTTATTTTTTTTGTGGCTTTTTCATTGGCATTGATAGGTAGACATTGCAATGTAAGGTTTGAATGGCTGATGGACTGCCATTCTTGAGACAAAGTTGTTATGTCTCGTGTGCCAGTAATGAGTTCGGCCCCACACCCGTAAACATTGGGCATGGTGGTAGTACCTCCCCGAGCGAGCCTTTCACATGGATCTCTACTACCTGCAGTATGTGGAAGGACGCTTTGTTATACTATATTTTCGTTAGATGGGCACACTGTACAAGTTGGTAGACTAACAATGTTTAGTTAGAGTTGACTCGGTTGACACGTTTAATGTGGCAATCCGTGGTTGAAGCTCTCTCAGTGTCTCACATTTTGCAGCTTCAAGTAAGGTCTAAGTGTAGAATGTGCAAAGTTACTGTGCAACTTCTACAACTGAACACAGTATGTTTAAACTGAATGAATGTATGTCTATAGATCATAAACTTTTTGCAACACGCAGCTCTGGAGAACTTTCATTTAAGTATTGTGCATTTAGCTGTATGGTTAGCACCAGACCAGATCCCTGATACGGGGGGTAATAAAATATTATCAATATATTGTTTTTTCTTGTTAAACAATGCATTCAGTTTAAAAACGACTTGCCTTACTTCTTTATCTTGTGTTTCAGTTCCAATAACAACAAACATGTTACGACCGACTAAAAGTTTTATTGATTTTTTCTACGTAGTAGGTACATGTCCCTATTGCTATTGTATTGAATTTAAGTATTAATTAATTTCAGTCGACGAATGCAATTTTCTATTTTTATATTTGGTGCCGCAGTAAAAGTCGTAGAGCGTTTCTGTGTCAAACAAATTAGATTATGGCTTCGTATTTACCGATTCAATGTTTTGTTGTTATTGGACTGAGTGACACAAGGAATGTGCCCAATCTTCAAGAGTTTCAAAGTACTACCGGTTTTGTCTGTTTAGTGTTAAGGTGGTAATTTTTCTAGCGGTTTATGTATCAAAAATATAAATCTGTTTTTTTTGGATTTTTTTTATTTTATATATTTTTTATTTATTTTTTGTTTTTTTATATATTTTTGTATTTTTGGAGAATTTTTATAGATTTTTTTTAAATTTAGTATTTTTTTAGTTTTTTTATAATTTTTATATTTTTTATTTTTTTTATTATATTTTTTTTGTGTTTTTTTTAACGAAATGTAGACAAAGCAATACCAGCGCATAGAAACTATTACTGCCATTGAAAATAGACGCATTTTTCGAGATTTCATTTAATTTTTTATCATTAGTATTTTTCTTTGCCAAAATATCACTGAATGTGTTTGGTATATTTTTATCAAATTTCTTCGAATCATAGGTATTTGAAATTATTTGGTAAATATTGACAATGTTCTAGATATAGATATAGGATATTTTTAAATAACGATGGGACATGTGGATACTGTTATTCGCAGAACTAGAACTTGAGTATAATCAGTAGGTTGATTAGGATTCAAGAAAGTTTTATTCAAGTGACATTTATATGACCATGTGATTGGAAGAACAATTGTTTTTTTTTTAGTTTTTTCATAGAAAGGTAAATAGATTCCAATGCTGGTATTGCTAAGATAACTAACGTAACAACTTTTCAACAAAGTATTGCTATCTAGCGATTTGACGCAACATAATACTGGTTTAGGGATGATATGTCACTGTTCCAAGACTTTTGTCCAACAGCACTGTCTATTTTGGAAAGTTGTGATTTTTCTATTATTTTGTCATCGGATTGTAACACGTATTTATAAGTAGGTGTAGTTTATTTAGCAATAAGATATTTAGCAATAAGATAGTAAGTTAGTCAGGTTCATCAATATATTGTATATGAAAAGTACCCCGTTATTACAGTGTCTGTGGATTTCAGTAAAGAACTTTGAACTGTTGACATATGATCCCCACGAGCGGTCAAGGGACAAAGCCAGTGATTGTTTTTTTTAATTTAGGATTTTTGAATCTGTTAATTCTATTTTCAAAACATGAATAAGCTGTGCATTTTTCTTGCAAGTATATCAATTAATATGTTTTTTATTAAATATTGTTCTCTACTGGTCTATATTGTTAGATTTCAATAATTGATTGCCGTTCCCAGACTACTCAAAAGTAAGAGCGAGCGAGGATTTGATGACATAAATCTTAAATTATTCGCGTTCTACTCTTGTTTCGTAGTTATGTTGCGCCTATTTACTACTTACGACTAACTTATTCTCCTTATACTACTTACTCTACTTATACATAATTATATTTATCTTATTCTAGTCCTACTCATCGGAACCGGGGCGCTACAAGTTGTTGATTTAGTTTAGTGGCACGACGTTCTAAGCAGATGGTCTTGCAAGTGGCATTCCACCAACCGCTGCGACAACATCGGACCCTTGTACAGTTAAAAGAGTGTCACTTGGGTCGGAATCGAGGCTTTTATCGCACTCGTGTACCGCCGCCCTTGACGAGTCGTCAATGCGTCCGCTCTAATGGAGGAGTGGCTCATACATGACAACATACGAGCAACACACGTGCGACAGTCCCGCGTACGCTGCGACGGCTGCGCCACTGGCTCGTCAGGGCTGACACGTTGCGGCACGACACCGCGACGGCGATGGTAAACCAACGCTGGGTGGCCACAGCCTAGGCTGCAGCGGGCACAAGAACAGTCGCAACCGCTTTAGCTAAATTATTTATCGGAGCATATACTAATATTTCAGTGCCCCGCTGCCAGTATCCAGCTCCGATGTTACTACTTATGGTGAACGCACCTAATCTTCTCTTACAACATAATATTGCGACTTTCTAGCTTTCCTACGACACAACAAATAATACTTTGGTACGATTTCTTGCAGCCAGGGCCACAACATAGTCAATATATGGGTAAATGAATCGGTAAATTGCAGCCCCCTTGAACAAAACATAATCTCTACCTAGCAATGTACTAATACCACCACAAAACAAAAACCAGTTGAATCACCTAACTCTAGATAAAGATAAGTATCCTAAGTAATAGCTATTCAGGTACGGGAAGTTATAGCTGCCATCACATATGGCAACAATAGAAACTTGTTAGCACATACCACTCACGCATGATACTCTTCACTCAACCGCGTACATAAAAATATTAATTCTACTGATAACTGTTGTTTAGTTGTAAAAATGTAAAATAAATAATAAAAAAATGTTCATATATTTCGATTTTGAATTTATAGTAGGTTGCAATAATTTTCTATACCCCAATATATTTTCTCATATATGTTTCTCTCACGTCTACCTAGTGGTATATTCTGCCAAGTAAGCTAAGGTCGCCATATACCTTATTGATCTACTTTAAATCTAAAATTTTGTTTCTCATTCATATCATCCATTCATACATTATACTAATAAAGGGAAGTCTGGGAGTGATCTGAACTTTAAGTATTACCTACTTATAATAGCTAAACTACATATTAGGTCCTATATTTTTACAAACTTTATGATTACGATTCTATTAATCCTACATATAAGGTTTCAAGCATACACACAATCAGTCATATCTCTTTCAACTATATCCTACCAATCGTTGTTTCGTACCAAAAATAATTCTAAAACTAACAATCCTTATATAATCAGATTTAATATACGACACTATTGCAATTCTACAATTAATTATATTACTATATATATAGCCTTTATTTCGATATATTGGCCCATTCATCAATATCATTCAAACTTCGCGCATGACCACTTTTTAAATCTAAACCTATCTATAAATAAAATTATTTTTACTATGTTAGTTATAACTAAGTTATATTAATACTAAACTCATTTACACATTTATCCCGAAACTGTTCTCCTACCGCTACTTAATATTAATTATGATCTAATTATTCTAAAATTGTTAACGGTAATCATGTTAAACATACATATGTGCATTTCCTAATTTCCAGGCTCTCATACATCACGCATTCAAGCTTATTATTTGACCTTATTTCCTTCCTCGTTCGTCTTCTCGCTGCTACGCCTATTCTACTGTTCTACTCCTTATCAGGATGTTGCGGCAATTGGCACGCAAGGGTGTCCTGATCCACTACGGTTGTCAGTTTATTGCTTGGGTTTATTAGAAGCTAGCATTACAGACTACGCTAATGAACTAATCCCTGTCTCAGATTCTTACTTCAAGTCATTCATTCATCCTCATTCATACTTCTTAAACTAAATTATGCCTAAATGACTAAAACTAATCAACCATCACATTCGCTCAGCCCTTCCACACTAACACTCTAACGTGTCTCCTACGCTTTCGTATTTTCCTATAAATACGTTTATCCTACGACTTACAAACTATGAGGTATGGAGCGGTGTTACTCATCCATTGCATTCAAATGTTCACACTATCATCCCTAGAGCGATGGACATGTCTTAGCTAGCGAGAACACGAGCGAACCGATTCACTTTTTTTAAAGTGTTCATGATTGTCGGTGTCTCTGTTACAAACGATGGAATTTGCCCATAGTCATCGTGTTGCGTTGGGCAGGATGGTTGGTGACCCAGATACTGGACTAAACCTGATGTTGCTGCACCGACTTCTCTGGGTCTTTTAGCTTGGGGTCTGAGATCGTAAGACCCCGAAATCCCTAAGTCGCCTTTTACGACATCCTAGGATGACATGGAGTGGCCCAATTCTCTGCCGGGAACCACACGGCCCGTAGCCGTAGTTAGCCGGTAGTTGAATGTGGATCGCGGGGAATCGTATGTTGTGGCGCGCTATGAAAGAGGGTTACGTCGAGTTTAAGCTAATGCTGATGATATACCTTATATATACTGATATATGTATGTAGTTGATGTCTCTCAGCGTTGTGAACTCGTGTGTCGCGCATTCACTCGCTAGTTAAAAGTGTGTCCTACGCTTATCTTATTACAGTCGTCATCATACATGAATTCACTTAAATTATATTGCAGTTTCTTTAACTAAATAGTGAGATTATTAAACGCACGTACGTATGTCCAATCTGATTAGTTAACCTAAAAACTATTCTGTTATAAACTATTTGTATTTAAATAACTAATGAGACTGCAGCGCGTGGCAAGTATTACGATGTTTACGGTGGGTTAAATTTGGGTTATTGCTTCTTGATACTCAACTTATTTATTCCTTACAAAAATGATAAGCTAGCATAAACTCAACATCAATTCTGCTCTTCAAAGTATTATAAGTTTAATGAGCAGAAGTCATGGCAGGCAATCACCCATCTCTCTTTCATACAACCTTCGTCCATCAACTCTTTACTAGTCTATTCACTACTTAGTCAGGAAACACTGAGTTCTATATCGAAGTACACAATTCAGCGTTTTCTAACACAATTGATTAGTCCGTATATTAAATCTGATTGAATTATGTGATTATTATTCTATACTAAAGTCTAACTTATATCTATGAACTATCGTAGTTATCCTATGAAAATAAACTCAACCCCGTCACTTGCAAAATCATTCATAGCATGGCACTATACAGTACCATCGTTCATACATCGCTTGTTATACGAAACATAAACAAAATTTTTACGACTACCACCGTTTTGCTAACAGCCCATATTTTCATTCTTGTTCTTTAATCATTCACTGTACCTTATCTTATATCTATTTACCCTATGTACCCTAAGAACGTAAATATAAATCCAGTTGCACCATCGTACATAGCATGATATATTGTAATATCATCCGACATCCACTCATGTCACTCGAACGATCTTTCGTACCAAAATTAAACATAAAACTACACACTACTGTTAACCACATAGAGTTCGTTATTGTTGTTATTACATACTTAAATAGACTAAAATAAGTTATATTATCTAGATATAAACTTTATGTAATTTTCATTACATCCTTTATTCGTCAACTGTCGTTCGTAACCTGACATTCGATCTCCATTTTCTTAAATTAGTAGCTCGTATCGGTTTCTTAACTTATTTTAACTTAAATATTATGACTTTTACCCTTTTACCCACCGTGTCAGACTTGTATTGCAGTCTCCTAAAATTACTTCTTTAACCCTAACTTATGATCCTATCGTGATTCACTGGTTGACATGGGTTTGGACGAAAAAGATGTTATTTCGTCATCCACTCTAAATTATATTTTAGAGCACTTTATCGTAGCCATGTGTAAGTCTATTGTCGAACAGTTATTTCACAAAAAGTTATAAAGAATAATAATTATTTTCCTGACTTTTTAAAGACAAAATTTAATTTACTTACATGTGTATTTAGCTATTTTTATGTGAACGTCGAAACTTTAGGTGAGTTAAATTAAATAACAGAACTATGAATAATTAGGTTAGAAAATTGGAGTTATTCATAAAATGCACATGGCACGCGCAAGTCGTATCCGTATGGCGTTTGATCGTTCATAAAATACTTTTAGTTAATTGTTCTAAAACGCCATAATTTTTATAAAGTCATAATCCGCGTGTCGGTATAGCATACTGATTTTCGTATTCACTTTTGTAACAGTACGAACGCATGTCGCTTGATCGTTGCTATTCCCGTTCGTACGTACCATATACCGTATATTAAAGTCATTATCAATTGCGATGGTAATTAGTACATCACTATACTTATCCTAAATCATTAACCTACAGTGAGGAGACGCTCATCAGGCTACGACCCACTGAAATAATACAGCTACGAGAAACTTACACATACAGAGTGATTGCAATGTACCGAACATACCAATGTATTAGATATTTATATCGGAATCAAAAAAATATAATATAATCTCTCTTATAACTATCATAGATCTGGGTATTGCTCGTCTATGAACGCACGCGTTTGTAAAATCATAGTTCATCGAAATTAAATACAAAAATTATAATAACAAAGCTTTCACTTATTCTTAAAAACGAATTTCCTATTGTTTACGGCAATACATTAGGGGATCAGTATCGAAATGGTAATGGTGTCAATGAATGAGTTGTGGAACATATTGAACCATAAGTCAAAGATGTGCTCAAAGAGGACAGTCAGAGTGAGCCAGGTAAAGCAGAGTCTACAAAGATAAAATACACAACAAAGTTGTATAAAGACCAAGTAAGTTAAACCCAATGAAATACTACAACCCATTCATTAACACGCACTGAGAGTGTTTTTTTAGATTAAATTGGGCAAGCTAAACAATATTATCGCAAACTGCTTCAAAATAAAGATACAAGACACTAACTACTTACATCTAATTAATCCTATCAAATCATACCTAATACCAAAGAAACTAAAGACTGGGTGAAAATAAAGGGTACGGAAATAATAAGAGAGTGCTTCAATGTACTAGTTACATTAAACACGGTGTTCCTAACTAACTTAACTAACTTATCCGTAACTATACTAATTAGTACGATCGATCATTTAAAGTTATTTTACCCTAATTTATTGAATAGCTAAAATCTACCTCCTACCAAAGCAGATCTGTCTTCAACACTGATCCCTATAAAATTATACTTTCTGTACCTACCTCTCTGTCTTGACACTAGCTCTTATCAAGGGAATTACAAGGAGACACATACAACTTAACAGTTAATTGAAGGAACAAGCACCCCCATTCATCGAAGTATGTAAACACATTAGGTTTATGTAAACTAACCCTCTTGCAGGATGTCAGCAGAATCGGGCACCTTCAAGGTATCGCGGAGCGTGGGACGACGAGGGTGTTAAACTACTGCCAACTAGACGATAACACTTTCCTAAAACGATTCGCACCAAGTACTCATTACTATGTGGTACTATAATATAATGGCATTTTGAAGATATACAGCGCGGCGCAACTCTGATTGGTGACCTAGATGATATTAATAAGTGGGCGTTAAGCATTTGAAAAGTTCCGCACCGAAAGATGAAACTTAGCCTACACTATGTAGTATGTTGCAATGTCTTTATTTAAGTCTAGTCGCAATGTAGCCAGTTTTATATATTTTTTTACAAAACCTACCTAACTGTTACTCCTAGCAACTATTTATTTGCAGTCAAAGCCCGCGAGATGTATTGCGGCTCAGCTCTGACAGCGATTCGGTATTTTTTACTACCAGGACTAAAACGCCTTTTCTATGCAAAAAATGTTATATTTATTCACAACCCAAGGAGTTTCTTAATACAATCTAAGTTCGAAAACCAATCAGTTTTTCTGGATTGTTATTTTACCTACTAGAGTTCTATGGTACGGAACTTTTAAGAGTAGTTTTTAGATTTTATTTGGTAGTTATTAGGCAAAGTAGCCTTGTTCCAACATAGTTGACCAATTATCCGTTTATAGATGAAATGTATCAATTAATGACCATTAGACTAAAATAGGCAACTGCTTGACAAGTATGAGTGAGTGAATTACTACATACATGATGGTTCGAGCTTGCTTACACCGCGCTGTATTCACAAACTTGAAGCGCCAAATCAGTTTTAGGAATTGAAATCGTGAATGGTATTTTCAATATGAGCAATTATTTAGTTATTTGGCTTCATTCTTCAAACTGTGTTACGATATTACTTTATTCGTGTGTAGTGCTTAATTAAGGAGTTATAATACATACCTATCGATAATAATGCAAAGTGATATAGGTGCTGCTGTCGATGAATTTGGGGCGAAGTGAAGGGGTATAACTAGTTCTTAAATTGGTTACATGCATGTTAAACGGTTGCGTTATATACTGTGGCATTGAAACATCGTTTGTTTATGCGTTTGTTTACGACTATGAGATGTAATCATGGGACCAAATGGCAAGACCTGATACTAGAATAATTTTAGTAATTCGGCATTTGTAGACCTTGTGACCTAAGATCACATGCCGCATCCGAAAATATTGAGTTTAAAGCAAAAATAGATAAATCTCCGCTCAATTTTATTGGCCTTTTCCCGGCCGAAACACGACCGTGGTCACAATACTAAAATACAAATTTCTCACTCTCTCTTTCTAAAATTCGCTTTGTTACATCGATATTTACGGAGGCAGGTGTGATTCCAACCTATATCATGTGCCAGTTACCAAGAAAACAAGAAGCACAGGGGGCTAATATTGCCCTGGAGGTTTTACTCGCCTCCGAAGTATACAACCTTAACATTTAAAACAGGTTAAAAAAATAGGAGTTAGATTTTGGATATACTATAGAACAGAGGCTGTCTGCGCGCCACGTTATTAGCAACCCACGAGGGAATCATTTTGCACCCGGGGGATTATATGGACCGGGCACAAGTAATATATGTGATTCCAATCGTATATGCTCAACTTCAATGCGCAGTCAGCTTCTGATCCAGAAGACCTCTACCTCAATATGCGAAACAGCAACAACCCGCAAATTCCAACTCTTAAACTGACAGGTGCTGGTAGTAAATACATTACAGTGCTTCGATTAAAATACAAGTGTTTTCGCGTATTGAAGTAGTGATCTATAGTTTAGGGGTTTGCCGTAGAGGCGGTGATAGTGGAAGATCATGAGAGCACTAGGCGAAGGGCGCTGGGTACAGCGTGAAAAATTACGCAGTGACGATGCCCCTACCAACATTACTATGCGAGGATACCTTGATTAAATTGTATTGACTAAATGATTGGCATAAAAGCAAACAATAATATTGGTAGTCACTTCGGTACCTTCGCTACAAATAAATTTCTGTTTCGCGTTGCAATACTCAGAGATTCGCTAGTATCCTATACGCAGAATTGAAATATGTAATACATATACAGATGTTCGTTCCTACCTTCAGTGCCAATCAGAAATCTATTCCTAGTTGTAAAACATCGATATCCGATATAAAACATAGGCGCTATCGCTGTTTTTGAAATCTTTGAATACAAGTCCCATTACGGGTATCGCTATTCCGCCTACTCATGACCCGGTCACCAAAATGGCCGTGCCACAAATACACGAAAAATTGCAAAGCGGTACGGCATTTAGCACGTACAATCTTAGAATCTAATAAAATGCATGAATTTTAATACTGTTTGAGATAATACTGCAGTTTACATAGTATATATTTGCAGTCTGTGTGAAATATTAATACGGGAACGACGATTTAAAAGCTGTGGATATGCTACGTGTTCTTAACCTATTAACATGTATATTATTATATTGAAATTTACGAAGCTCGGTTAAATATTGTTGCAATAAATCTTAGAGCAATGCAATCGAACATCAAAAAAAGGTCATTCGAATATCGGGCCAACCTGCTTGATATTGCGAAGTATCGTGGTATTTAGCGGTTGTTGGGTGGCTTGTAGCCGTGGGTCATTCGTTCCAGGAATCGATGTAGGTCGTGGAAGCGGGGGCGCTGCATGGGCTCTCGGCGCCAACATTCGTGCATCAGATCGTAGAGCTCGCGGCGGCAGCGCGGGGGCGGTGCGGCTGGCACGCGGGCGCCACGTCCGCCACAACGCCATTCGCTGGCATTAGCGACCACCTGTTCACAAGGTATACTTTCTTCATCAAATGTCTTCAAATGTGTTGTTTTAATAAACCAATCCATCATAAATGACATAAATCTTGCATAAATTACACAACTAGGCTTTAATATTAGTTAAATTAATAAAGAGCCATTTTTTAACACCCTGCCCAAGTTCCGAACTGTTGTTGCTAACAAAACATGTTAATATAGCATTAAAAATTAAGAAACTGGTGTCTTACCTGGTCATCGTTCATCTCTTCGAACGGTTTGGCCGAGCAGTATGTTAGGACTTCCCACACGGTTACACCGAACGACCAAACGTCGCTGGCTGGCGAGCACATGCCCTGATAAGGAAAAACAAAATTATAGGAATTGCATTAAAATGTAAAGAATAGCTTGTTTGTATTAGATTTTCAACCCTATTGTTTCGAAACAGTTTCGAAAATCCCCTGAAAAAAACTGATATTGACCTGCTGGTAACTATATTATAATAATGGGAACGTAGTATAAAAAGAAAATTACCATCAATAAGCTTTCCCATGCCATCCACCGAAGTGGTATGCGGGAACCGTCAGCCATAATGTGATAGTCGGTTACGAATTCTTCACAGAACATTGCGTAGTCGGATACTTTTACATGGAGTTCTTCAGTCACGGTCACGTTACTGTGGAAATATAACTTGTTAAGTATTTACTCTATCTATATCTATTTATTTAGGTCAAATTATCTGTCGTCTCAATTTTATACTGTCAAACACCAAGCGGTCACCGGTGAACGCAACCTATTGTTCTATTATTGTGTCTATAATGACGGTACTCGACGAGTTAAGTCATAAATATTCTTAGTGGTTGATGCCTCGTTGGCCAAGTGATCGCAAGTATGTTTGCCGGCAAATCTCGGGTTCGATTCCCGGGTCCGACAAAGTATTACTGAGTTTTAAAAAAAATTCTCATTAGCAGCACGAAGTCTGGAATTGTACCTGGTATATAGCAATAGGCCCACCCCCTATTGCATGGGATTCATAACATAAATAGTGAAAAAGTGGGTGTTACATACGTAATACAGTGGCATTAAGTGCACATTACGACCTCTGCCTAACCCTTCGGGGATAAAAGGCGTGATGTTATGTTATGTTATTTTTAATGTCTTGTACGTGATTTTTAGACAAACAACACAAAAAGATAAAGGAAATAAGCAGTGGCACAAATAAAAAAAAAACGAAATGTCAACCGTATCGAAAAAGTAAAATGTTGTTCTTAAACCATCCTTATTTACATGATTTTAGGTGTCAAAGTTCGTAAAAATTCAGAATAAGTGCAGTAGTTCCAGATTATGAGGTAACAACTGTTATAGATTGAATAAATTTTGTATTTTTCATCTTCCTACTACATTCGGTTTAATACCAGAATCCGCATTGCGGGCGAGCCTTACTCTTGATATTTTGTAAAACAAGCAAACGAGGGGGTCCTTTTTATTGTACTATTATTATCAAATGGAAGTGAGTTTTGTGTTAGGCCAAAAATATTATAATTTAGAAATTAAAACGGGTATTCTTATTTTGTTTTCAAATACTCTTGAATAATGTTATGTAAAATATACATATATATGCTCAGATCATATTGTAGACACGAACTTATATCGTAACGTAACGATTTCTCTCGTATTCTTTATGTTCACCTACATAAATAAATAGGTACAATTTATCAAAAGTGTTAAACTTGGCCTTCTAAAAACCAAACATATTTGGGCTATAAACATTATTCTAGTACCTACATTTAACGTGAGCATAGAAATCAGTACTTATAATCATTAAACCAAAGGTATTCTACGGTTAGTAAAATAAGTACTGTACTTACCGAGCTGCTAAATCGCGATGGACTAGTTCGAAGGATTCTAGATATTTCATGCCGGCGGCAATTTGGCAGCATACGTGTATAAGACTCGAGTAGCTGCAAAAAAATAAATATGTTAAATTCCAATTCGTGAAATTCCATTGTGGAAAGGTGTTTATGTAAAATGTCAAATTAAGACTCACCTCAATTTCCGGTCCGATCTCAAAATCGTGGGCAGTGGGGCGGCATCTCCGCGATCTAGGGCTGCGCATGGTGGTTCTAACAAGCTCAAGCCTAGCACTCTGGCTAGCTGAGGGTGCTTCAAACCTGCACCCCAGGTAGCCTCGCGGGCAAATGCCGCTCTATAACAAAATTATTCAATTGAGTGCTTTTGCTTATCAGTGTCGCATTAAGGAAAAATAATAATAAGTATTAATGATTTGTCATTATAATATCTCCTACACTAATAAAAGAGCTACGCGGCTACTTACTTCACTTCGCTATGGCAGCCGCGCCACAACGTCTTCACAACAACGAGGCGGCGGCGTCCGCCAGTCGGTGACTCCTCGTCCGACAATTCTTCGATTCCATCGGTCTCGCATATCTGGAGCTGTGGAAAAAATTGACCCGTCAATAATTGAAACCCACCTCCGTTCAATTACATGGCCAAACTCTTCATTTTTATTCCATGGCGGGTAGTAACTGCCAAGGAAATAGTTCTTAAGCACGTAATATAGTGAGGGAGCGAGGAGAATTTCCTGTATATTTCACAAAAGCCTACTTTGGCCCAGTTTCTAAGTTTACCGAGCGTGGAAAATGGCTTGGCGCCTTGCGGATTTACAGGCCTAGAGAAAAACCCTACCTTCCCTTGTTTAGACTCCTATGTTGCCGTGGAGGTACGCTTGTTTGATTTCAAATATTTTGCCAACAAAATAAACCTTTATTTCAAGAAATATTTTAGAAAAATATGTCATATTTGTCGAAAGCAAAATGGAACGATTCAACGATGGTCAATGTTACTATTCCTCAGTAAGTTATTCAAACGCAGGTGGCGACGTAGATAAAAGTGAAGTATTATTATGATTCTGATCACACACGTGTTCCGAACAGTTCAATGACTATAACTATGTCAACTTCTAAGAGTATTTTCAAGAAGAGTTTTTGCACTTTTTGGAAAACCAGTAGCACTCAAGATAATTGGAAATGGCGGTCCGTAAGACTGTCACGAGTGAAATTCAATATGTTTCAATTAAAGTTAAAAGTTACGTGGCCAATAACAAAAGCCTTGCAGTGAAAGAGTTGCTTGCCTTTTCAGACAACAAATCTCTGTAAATCCGGAAACTAATGGAATTAAAGTATTGTTTGTTCAGGTGGCTCGTACGAGGGTGCCGGTAAATAGCCCAGTCTTAAATCCAGGCTGGTGCGGCGAGCAGCCTGTTATCCTTTAATCAAAACTGGCCACAATGTTAAAACAAAATTACATTAAATATGTGTACAAATTGTTCAAAGCAACAAAAATATTTTCTTTTATGTTATATTCGAGAGCTCTGAATGTTTCATTGAAAGAATAATAAAGGAGAGTCTCGTACAAACCCCACTATTATCATGGGTAACAAGCCGATGTGGCATTCTTCCCCTAAATTTTGCGGTGAATTATGTTTACATTAGGTCAAGTATTATTGTCCTTGAGAATTGAGGGTACGAGAGAAAAAGTGCCTAATCTGCTCCCTCACTGAGAGGGGCGAAAACTAATGTCATTTCGTAAATTACGAAGTGCGCGCTGTGGAAAGTATAAAATAGATAATAATATTTATTTAGCTAATAGAATATGAACATTGTGAACGAAATAAAATGTGTGGTTTATTGATTAAACGTAGCATAGACTAACCTTGAATGAGAACTAACCAGAATGTTAGTTATATAAGTAAAAGCAACGAGGACTCGTCCATCATTTAAAAATCCTACATTTTGTAATTAATTATATGCAAATGAAACTCCATTTGAATAAATTAAAGCTCGTTATGCACACAGTAATTATTTTTTAATATCGTTCCATTAACAAAGGCACTGAGTGCTCTGTCTACCCTTTTTTTGTCGTCCCTTCCATTACCAGTACCGATTTGGACTTTTTGTAAGTTTTTAACCTTAAATGAAAATGAAATTGTATTTTGAACTTGTAAGATTAATTTGTTAGTTGAAGAAGTTTTGCTGTTTACAGCGCACTTCGTTGGGCACTTTAAAATTTAATTTGAGTGGCGGCACCGCACACATTGACTAGGTACGTCGTTAATATAATAAAAATATGAAAAATAAACGCCCCAAGCTATTAAACAGTGTTGTTGGCGGGTGGTGAGACCGCCGCCGCCCGTTGGGGGGGACTGAGCCAGATTGCATTTTCTTGCTACGGTCAGTAATCAATTTTTATGGGCATTTTTGTAGACCAACACTTTGCGATTCCCTCTCTGTATGAGTATTACACGAATGAGTAGCTTGGACATGCGGCATAAAATCACCTCTTTACGAGCATCCACTGCCAAATTCGAATATGAACATTAGTATTCTATAATTTGGACAACACACTGGATCCTAGTATAAGTTAATAAAAAATGTATATTTCGTAGCAGAGCCGGCTAAATATTGTTACAGTAGATTGATGCTTACATTCTCAAAAATTGTATTTACATTATTATGCCTAACGATCATTGGATAACATTCAATTTAGAATGCAAATTAATATTCGAAATCGCTCAACTTTGGGAAAGGTAATTTCGTTTTACCAAAAACTCTGTTTGGCCTAACATCAGCACAAAATAATATAATGTAATATCTATAATGGAGAACCGGCCGCAGTTGCGGACTAATCTTTTCATTGTATTCAGATTAATCATAAATTTTCAATCAAGCGATACGCCTCCCTTACTTGGAGCGGTAAATAAATCAGAAAAACTTAATTCGGCTTCTAGGTACTTACCTAAGACCTAAGGCCTAATCATTAAGGTTTGATCTGCAGTGTGTGTGGGAATTGTGTTAGGTATTCACCCATCATCGAACGTAGCTTAAGTGATTAGCGCCGACGGCTAATCACTGAAGACAGACACAGTCGAGGTTGGGATAGTCTGGCCTTTAGATAACTACGTATACTGGTTAGCATGGTTTCATTGTACAATACGCATTGTTATACGTCCGTAGTACCTAGATATACATATGGCTATAATATGGCGTACTGTTCTACCCAGTAAATCGAAGAGATTAACTCATTTGGAAGTAGGTTCAAATTGATATTTGGTCTATATTTATACAGAAACAGATGTGTGATTTTGCCTTTACGTAATAGTGAGTATTGTTCTTGTAAATATCGTAGCAACAGCTAGGCGAAAATAAACAACAAGATATGAACAAATATACGATACAATACCAAAAAATCAATGTCCATCTACCGTAGAAATACAGAGTAAATAATAACGATATCATTTCATATCCAATGTGAGTATAATAATGATTGCTGTAGAGGTTAGGAAGACAGAATACAAAAGAAGGAGCAAAAAAGAGTAAATGAAACGAGGAGTGAAGATTTAACAAATACTAATTAAGAGTAACAAAACATTTGGACGCAGTTAAAACACATTCGTAACGCGAAAAGGCCATATCTGAGGGTATGTGGCAAACTCGGCGCTGTGTACAGGTGGCCGCGGTCCACTAATTCACTCTGTTTGTTCGTTCTTAATGAAAATACAACAGGGGCACGCTCTTTTGTGTACTCAACATTCCAGCTGGCAGAGGTGGTGTGTGATGCGCTTGTGTGCGCCGGCGCGCCTGTGTGGTCCCCACAACAGTGCGCCATCTCACACAGGATCCTAATTAGATCGGTGGCACTTGTAGTCACGCTACCGACGCATAGAATAACACCAACTATCGCATGGAAACCACCTCCACCTAACTCCGTCTAAACTTTGAAACGTTTATATCCCCCGGTTCGTTGTATCAGCAACTCTATTATTCATGGGTAAACTACCAGACTTCCTAATTTGTTTTTGCTACAATTACCACTAGCCTGAATATTTAAGTTTTGCTGTCGTGTTTGCACGCAAGTGCGTGACCGGAGTTAGGATTCAATATTGACCTAGCAACTTCAGTAGTAGAAAGTAATGGGATTGGTTTTTTAAATATGTATACGCTATTGGTGTAGATGTTCGTGATAACAAAACAAAGGATAGAATAGACCAGCAATTATCTTCGTATAGTTCAATAAATAATTAATTGAGCTAGTAGCTTTCGATATTGTCCTATTGACACAACACACTTAAGTTAATAAAATCGATTAATTACGTCAAAACCCCTTCAGTACATTGAAAGTGAAATTAGAATGAGAAAGTACATATTTACATTACGACTACGGACTAAAAGTAACAAAATTTTGTTTGCCAAACTATAAACTCTTTACTTGAGTTAAATGATTAAAGTTAGTGTTAGTTTCTCTGGTAATTATTGGTTCAGCTGTACGTATTAAGTACGAATAGATGTCTTTGCGAGACCGGCATGGCTATAGATATATGATGTCTAATAGGTTGCTGATAATGAAACGTTACTAGCTTAAGGTCGATATTAATAATATTGGGAGCAATTTCTTCTCAGTGCAGTGGTTTGCGTCAGTTTTCATGTATCGATTCCCGCCACGAAATTAAGTTCCCACCTAAAACGAGGTAGACGATTAGGCCGTAGCTGACCGAGTGTGTGAGGAACCATCGTAGAGGCTTTTATCGGATAATTTCTTTAGAAGAAATTCAAATAAAAATGGATTATGATATTTTACTTTATAAATTACTCGTAAAATTTCTTTGGTGTTAAAATGTCTTTGTAAATACTACCTGGTAGAAAACATGAAATTTAGCTTAAAGTCGTCTAATGTATCTTCATAGACAATTCTAATTATTATTAAAAATATTAATTAAAAATCCGTAAACGCGTAGAGAGTTAATATTTACTTTTGAAAATATAGTTTTTTCCTAAGTGGACGAACATTTTAAAAGTCCCTGCTTTTCGCAGCTGATGATATTTGACATCAAAAACGAACAATATCGTTTACTGTCCTATAAATGTGGTATTCTGTGGCGACACTACAGGTGCTCCGTAACAGCGTGTATAATTGCCGCCCTCTCTCTCTCTCCCCTCCCCTCTCTTTATAATAACATAAATACATTATAATATATTAACATAGGGATACAAATTTTTGGATTTCCTTAGAGTCAGTACAATTACCTAAACGTGAACATTGACTGAGAATAGTTAGTATAAAGGTGATAATAATTATGACGCAATTGATGAGAAAGTAAAATTTTTATTACTTTCGTACAATAGTAGGCGCCTCACAATATTAAGAGATGCAAAAACTAGTTGAAACAAACGAACATTCAAGATCAGTGTCTGTCGTGGTTTACCCATGGATAACGTAGGATTACAAACTTACTAGACAAATGTGACGACTAAATGTAGGTATTATCAATGCAATCGATTATATATTGGTAATATATTTGCATTGGCATATTGCGGCGGCCACCTGGGCTCCTAAGCTAAAACTATTTGGGTTGATGCGAGCGCTCGACGGCGCGGTGCGGCGTCGAGGAGGGTTACCCAATGATTTATATTGACATCGATTATTGAGGTAAGTAAACTTTTCGAATAGGGTGGTTTATTACTATGTACATTCGACACGTTGTTTTATGTCCATCTTGTATTTGAAAATTACACTAAACATTTGTATTGTCGTCCGACTATTTCTAGTTTTATGATGTAAATAGCCTCTTTGGATAATCAATTCAAGCTCTTATTTATAAAGAAGTATATATTTGTAACGACAAATGTGCTGTCATAAAGAAACATTGTCAATTATGACAAAAACTATAAAAAATGCAAAATTAGATGTGAAAAATTCAATAAATAGTAAATAGGTAGGTACATAGAAAGCAAATGATCGTCAAATATGGATGACTTTTTCAAAAATATTAGATCAACGCTTGTAAATGTAGATAACATTATCAAAGAGGAACCTATATCGGGTAAGTCCTAACATAAAGTAGAAAAGTAGAATTATGGAATAAAATAAGGGAAGGAGCATGTCAGATAAATAAACCAGTCTTCGATAGAGACAACGTCGAAGATAGCATTGTCAATTTAGACCCCGGTCTAAAGTAACACCTTGACTTATTACCTAACAATATCTCACTGCACACATGAACACTGTCTCTGGATTTTTCACATATTGGCATTTATTTTTATTTAGCGTACATAGTTGCGCTAGTTCAAATGGTTATGCTTTGAATCCAACATCAATCACTTATCGTCTGGTGTTAATATTATCGTTAGAATGTTTTGCCGTGTATATTAGCAAAACAATACAGTTTCAGGTTTATTGCAGTACTGAAAATGTTAAACCCAAGAACCTAAATAATATTTATTCTTGTTTTGGAGGTGCACTAGCAATCACCGGACCAAAGAAGTGGACGTCGAATATATAGATTTTGATTGCCTCTTTGATTTATACTATATCCATCGATAGTAGGCTGAAACTTGTAAATTTTCGTGGCTATTCTTACCCCTTTCTTAGAAAGCATTGGCATGGCTATGGTATAATATAGATATTATTGATTGCAAGATTTTTTACAAAGTTATAAAGGTTCAAAGAGGTCTCCGTCAACATGAATTATCCTGAAACATTGTTGATGTGTGTACCTATATACAAATCCTTGAAATACTAATCATCATTAAAAAATAAGTTAAAAATGAAGATTGATTAATTTTCGTCGTTTAATATTTTGCAGAAAATAAAATTGATCACAGTAAATTACTAAAAGACATAGAAACCAAACCCAAAGATGATACGCGAGTTAACGTTAACCAACAATATATAATAATTAAACAGCTAAAACGAAATGACTTAAACGCAAATGACAATTCAGGACCATGTGAAGGTCGACTAGAGGCAGATCAAAAAGACATAAGTAGTTTTAAATCGATGGAAGTGATTGGAATAGTCGACAAGTCATACAGAAATAAAGATACCAAAGATGAAGTAAAAAGTTTCAGAAGTAAAATATTTGAAACGATTATGACAAAAACAAGCAGCTTTCTGGAACAAGTTACAGCTAGTTATAGTGCTTTAACAAAGGAAGAGGAAGCACCAATTGGTGATGAAATACCGGAGCGACTACCATTTGACATGTTATTGAATTTCGTTAATATATGACAAACGAGCTTTTTCATAGTCTAAGCAACAAGTACTTATTTAATAAGAGATCAAAAATCAAACCGCACCTAATTCCTAAATAAACTACCCGCCAACGCTACAAGAACTTGAACGAAACGGGACTTGTTAACGGGACTTAAGTGAAAAAGACTCGTTTGTGTAAAACATAATTCACATCGATTCATCCTCATCATCATATTGCATTTGAAATATACCAATGACATATCTTATTATAAAAAATGAACAAAACTGAACCCCTTAGTATCTTTCATGTTAAAACCTTGTACATCTTTTATATAAATAGAGTTAAAGTTAGACTTTAGATAATGTCATTTATTTTTTAAATATGATAAATGCCGATATGTGAAAAGATAAAGGGAAATGTAACTTATTTCTTTTGATCGTGAAGTTAACATTTCTCCGCAATTGACAAATTTATTGTTATTATTAGGCAAAAAAAAAAAAAAATTAAAACCAAGATAAGAAATTAAGGTTACAGAAACTAATATTACTTCAGGTAAGAACGTGAGAGTTGATGACAAGCCAATAAACCTTATATTGGGAAAAGTTGATAAACCAGTAAAAGAGCCACAGCCTCTAAATGCTCAGGAGCTCGATGAAAAACTAAACGAAATATCAATACAATCCAAAGCAGCCATTGAAGACTTAAGAAATCAATCAATTAAGATAGTTGATACAGCTAGAGCTCAAACAGATATGGTAATTGAAAATGCTAGATATAACTTCAACATGTTCTCGAAATCCTTGGAAGAGTTGGATAATCAACAAACATTGAATATCAGTGAAACTGTAAATGTCAATGAAGAAGAACCAGCTGACGAGACGTTCGATGAAATTATAGAAAAGTGTTTTGGAACTAGACATGTTATAGATTTCCTCGACTAAAACGAATGTCATTAAAAGACGACAATGTTTAAATTGCACGGTGTAATCTCATATTTTGTAACCTTTCTTTTAGATAAATTATATTTTCAAATAATTTAATGTTATGTATTTTTTAATTCATTTATTTTGCTGAAAACTAGACCAATATGTTTGTAGATGTGCTCGATAACATTGTTTAAAGGTACCTATTAGTGTTCAATCGATATAAGTGGAAGTACTATAAAGAATGGGTACTTACACTCCCATGTGGGCCCTCTCCAAGGAAGGTTATCGGTCGCATGCGCCCCCGCGGGAAGTCCAGCAGGGGCGCCACTCCGTTTGGGGGCTCGGCTTCAGGAAGTTTGATGGATGTGAAGAGGCCTGGAACTGGCTTCTCACGGCGGCAAGCGCGTTCTTCCGGGTATGTCTGCGAATAAAATAAGATAATTAATTTATATACTTCAACATCTTCTATAGTTTGCTCTTTTGCATCTCTTCTTGCCTAGTCACGAAGCAAGGACGCTACGCGATTTCTGATTTCCTTGTAAAAAATGTTAATTTAGCTTTCTTGTTCGTGATATGTAACTATCATCTCAGGCAGGCTAGCTTTCAATCAAAGCATTATACGAAGTCATGTAATAATAACAACCTATAATGCATTTCGACTAAAAAAACTTTAATAAAACTATGTATGAAGTTCTATTGCATCTAGTTTCCATAGAATTGAGTCTAATCTTCGATACACATTGCTAGTATGTGGAATAAGCGACTTTGCACGGTACGTTTCTCGAGAACACCGTGACATAGCGAGGCGTCGAGGGATATATTATGATTGTTAGGAATTCCGACAGAGTACTATCTTCAATCCTCCATATATTGACGTAATAGTTCAGTCCTGACTGTGAATATGTGTACTATTGCAATATGCATCGGCGATTTTAAGATTGGAATCACTATGGCAATCTAATTTAGTCTGGATCTGGCAGACTCTTCTAACTCCTTAAAAAATCTTCTTAACAATGAGTAGTCAACGTAAAACATTAGTAATGTTTGATGTTACCTACCCAAGTAAAAATATGGGAGAAATGAGTCACAAATAATGTTTACCCTTCCAAAAGTTATTAGAGTGGAGTTATTAGTGGGAATATTGATCAATAGGTTCCTACATTGCGTTAATGTTCGATAGCACACACATTTTATATGTACCCGTAAATAACATTGTTCCTGCTTAATTGCTATTCCCCTTCCAAGATTGCGTTGCTATAATTTATACGGTACCATGAATTATTATGGTCGTAGGTGTATTATGTGTGTGGACTGCAGGTATTATGGTAACATTAATCATTTCCGAAATTATAAATGAACGTCTTTTTGATTTTTTGGTGCGTCATCTCTCATTTTTTGTATTTGCATTTCTTGAGTCGATTTTCACAGGTATATTTTCTTTGTTACTCCTATGTAATGCGTACGATCTGATCTGTACCCACGCTCGTGAAGCATTTTTGATTTATTGGATCAAAAACTGAGCCATAGCTTTATAAATCTCAAGGAATTGAGAACACAGTATGCTTTTGGCGAAATGTATCCGCGTATGTTTTAGCTAATACAAAACAAACGTCATTGGCGATGGCAAGTCTGTTGTAAAGCCGGCGACTTAGAGGCAAAGCCGTACAAAGCCATAGTAAAACATTAACAAAACACGATCGACCCCAACGAATCGCTGGCTCATAATACCTTCGTGTAGTCATTTATCATTTCGTAAACGACCGCGTAATACCCATAATGAGTAAAATCCAGGCATACCTTGGGCAATACCATTAATATTACAAAACCCGGTCTCTCCCCTTCAATGGATGTGCTCTGTATAGTTTGAAGACCTTTGCGGTGTATTTTGGTGAACTTGGACAACATAATAATATAAATAATTTGTAAATGTTATCCTGTTCTAGAAAGCTGAGCTGAGTTGTGTATTAAGCGATTGAGGTGAAAAATATTACGCGATGGTAGCAAGACTGCTTGAAATATTTTAATCGATTTATTTCATTTGAAGTCCTTGGTAGTACCTACATGAAGAATGAAGTTCGTTTGTATGCCAAAGATATTTCCAAAAGTTACATCAAGATATACACTAACGTACCTTTAATTAAACATCTCATAATTATTACACAACAAAGTAGGATTTAAACTTGACAGCTTCAAGTGTATAAAGTACTTGTCTCGTTATCTTTAAATTAAATCCGTTGTACAAAATTATCCGCTTCATGAATCGAAAAAGTTAAAAGGCAGTCAAAGAGTTGAGTACAATATGCCGTGAAATGGCCTTAATCAAGAGAAATATTAAAAAAACAATAAAAAAAGTAAAAGATAGCGTTTGTGAAAGGTAAAGTTGGCTCTTCGCAGTTAATTATGTCGCTGTCCTCATTGTTTATTGATTTATAGACTAAATGAACTGATTATTTTTTATCAGAATTGGCGACAGTTTTCTTAATGTAGTGGGCGGTTTGGAAATAGTTTTTGTTGTATTTTTATGACCCGTATGCTAAGTAGCTGTTCCATCATAAGTTGCACTTTTCGCTACATCTTTTATATTTGTACGGAATTTCATAACAATCGCTCTATCTATTCTGAAGATAGTGTCAGACACACAGACAAAGCAATAAAACACTTTTATGTTCTAACCGCTGTGGGACTATAAAAGAGACGAAGAGATTTCACTATAACATACACTCGCACGATATGGATTGTCTTATTATAAAAACAACTTAAACCGTACTGCATCGGAACACAGAACACATTCAGTTATCATCATTTCTTCTCGGTACATAAATTTTATTTATGAGTAAATAGAATAAGCCGACGGCTATGCAAAGCAATCCATTATTTAATTCAGCTCCTGTGCGACACCCCTGTTTGTGGGGTGTGGGGACGGGGGTCACGGGACATGTGACATATTCTAGTGTCACACGGGGGTACTTACAGCAGCTAGTGTTGTGGCTACATGTTCCCGGGTGTTACGTGTAATGGAGTGCTCCCAGAAAACGGGGAGGTAAAATTTTTGAACAATAATAATGATAATTAATGGCCATGGTGGCGCGGAGGTTTAAGACGCCCGCTTCTAATGCATGAGCGTGTGAGTTCGCTACCTACCAACGGCATGTACCAATGCATTTTTTTCCGAGTTACTACTTTTGAAGGAAAACATCGCGAGGAAACTTGGGTTTATAATTTCTAATTAAGTAAAATCAGCAGTGGGTACTTATATACTGTTGATGTATAATAATTGTAATCTTTGTCCATCATTTGTCCATGGACAAATGATTTGTGTCGTCTAGTGTATAGCAAATTAGCTGAATGTGGTTCCAAAATGTTTATGTATGTTCGTGAGTATTTATAATTTTAGGATTATTTATTCTGAAATTATCAATGGGCGGCCATGGAATTAATTGCGCCAATTGCATGGCAATAAATAAGCTTGGTTATATGAGACTTAAATGAGGAAATGTATAGATAAATAACGTATGTAGGTATTTCTAATACCGTGAAGCCATATTTAGATATTATTTCGGCGTACTAATTATACACTGACGTTCTACATTACCAGTCAAAATGTTTACAATCATAAAAACCTGATATTACTTACGAAGCCCTTGTGTTATTAACAATTAATCCCCCTAAATGAAACCTGAGCCCCTCCCCTCGGATGACCTATCACAGGTATTTTTAATTAACTTTCAAATTAAACCCCAACTGGAGATCGTTTTTCATAGCTGGCATATTGTCATGAAATAATTTTGGCTAATTCACTGAACAATAAACAGGTAGGCGATGTAATATTACTTATTTATGTACTTTAGTATAATTTAATTTTAAATGGATTATGATTTATTTAATTGAACGTGAATAAGTGCTTAAAATTATTACTAGGGGAACAAAAATGTTTGAATTTGGATATTAGAAATGAATTTAGTTTTCTCTGCTTGCCTCGTTGGCCGAGTGGCCGTAAGTGTGACTGCCGGGCAAGGGGTCTCGGGTTCGATTCCCGGGTCGGGCAAAGCTTTTTTTTATCTCAGTAGTAGCACGAAATCTGGAATTGTGCCCGGTATATGGCAATAGGCTCACTCCCTATTATCCCTAGACTCATAACATAAATAGTGAAAAGTGGGTATTATTTGTACAGTGGTAATGTGCACCTTTGCCTGCCCTTTCGGGAATAAAAGGCGTGATGTTATGTTATTCAGTTTTCGAATGGAGTACTACTAATTTAGTTAAATCATTATGTCCCCTACAGCAAGACGATCAAGGCTGACAAAAAAAATATGGCTTGACTTTAGTACTTCTGTATGTACGTAACGATGTATATAAGAATTAGATGACACATTTGTTTTATTTAAAACCGGGTTCATAAACTAATTTATTTATTTACTAGCTGTTGTCCGTGACTCTATTCGCGTAGAAAACTAATTTTATGACGTAACTTTATTAGTCTTAATTTTCCAAAATAAAAGTAGCCTGTGTTACGACTTATTACATACTGACAGTCAATAAAAGTCCCGTCAAAATCAGTCCAGCCATTTCAGAGATTAGCCACTACAAACAGACAGACAGACGGACAAAAATTGTAAAATATGTTATTTTGGTATGTGGATCATATGCATTTTTTATGGCATAAGTCGGTAAACGAGCAGACGGATCACCTGATGGTAAGCAATCGGCGTCACCCATGGACACCTGGAACACCAGAGGCGTTACAAGTGCATTTCCGGTGGAGATTAGGAGTTTGAGGATCGTTGGGGATTCAGGAATTTGGGCGATTGGGGAAGGGGAGGGTAATTGGGCCTCACTCACACGACGAAACATAACGCACGCGTTGCTTCACGTCGGTTTTCTGTGAGGCCGTGGTATCATTCGTGCCGAAGCATGGCTCTCCCACAATGCATGCAAAAAGTATGTATGCATATAGTAAAATGGTTATTTTAATATAACAAACAGACACTCCAATTTAATTTTTCTGTATAGACATGTAAGTGTTGAGTTGTGTTCATAAAATTAATGTGCCTTTAAATATTCAAGGAAAGTATCCCCTGACTGGCAATTCGTGCATAAAAAGTACATTACTGTGATGTATTTTGTGCATTACATTATAAATTTACTAGTGTACTTTCATATGGTTTGTAATTTGTATTAATTTTTTATTTATTTTTTTGGTGTTTAACATTGTTTCAGGAAGTTTATTCTTTGTTTCAGGAAACTTTTTAATATAGAAGTTACTTTTCCGCGGTTTTATCCACTGTTCGGTTCCTATTGGTCTTAGCGTGATATTTTATAGCCTACCTCCATCAAAGACAAATTATTTTTTCAAATCGGACCAGTCTGTTCCTAAGCTTAGCCTGTTCAAACAAACAAGCAAGTTCTTCAGCTTTATATAAT